CAACTATAAAACATAGGTACATTACCAAGGAACATGTATGAAAAACTGGGGAAGGAATGGGAAAGGTTGGCGTCCTTGGCGCTCTGAGAGGCGCGGAGCGCCAGACCACAAAGGTCAGAAGGGTCTGGTTGGGGCTCTGCTAGGGGCGCCACCCCAAGGGCTGGACTTCAGAGTCCCTTTTGGGGGGCGCTGGCTGGCGCGCAAACATAACCAACAACTTCAACAAACATAACCAACAACTTCAACAAACATAACCAACAACTTCAACAAACATAACCAACAACTTCAACAAACATAACCAACAACTTCAACAAACATAACCAACAACTTCAACAAACATAACCAACAACTTCAACAAACATAACCAACAACTTCAACAAACATAACCAACAACTTCAACAAACATAACCAACAACTTCAACAAACATAACCAACAACTTCAACAAACATAACCAACAACTTCAACAAACATAACCAACAACTTCAACAAACATAACCAACAACTTCAACAAACATAACCAACAACTTCAACAAACATAACCAACAATTTCAACAAACACAACCAATCCTTTCTCGGAATTAAAATGAGTTTGGTGTGTGGGGGAAAGAACCAATCCAACACTATGAACTCAAATACCTAGTAGGGATCACCCCCGATGATATCCACGACGATCTTTGACGAAACCTTGCTTGATCTTCTCTTTCTCCTCTTCTTCTCCTCTTCACTCACAAATCCTTACCCTCACTCTTTTTAAAAGGGAAAAACTGATCTAAAAATCAGTCTAAACCCTTAATATAACCAAAACAATTGATTAGGGAAAAGACCAAATTACCCTTACAATTTCCGGACGGATTTCCCTGCCAACTGCCCAACTTCCAAAGGGCATAACTCACTCATACGAACTCAGAATCGAGCAAACTCGGCGGCGTTGGAAAGATCATTCCACGGGATTCGTAAAAATAACTGGAACTACACCCAAATCATCCTGAGCTACGAGTTATAACTGTTCAAAGTTGGCCAAAAACTCACTTTTTCCCATACTTGGCCAAATTTCCAGATGTTTGAATTCCTTCCAAAAATAATTAATTCCCATTTCTAAACCTCTTCATAGTTATTTCAAATTGTCGGATGTTACAGCTAGAAACTTTGCTAATATTTTCCATGGAAAAATATATCTCCTTCTTAATCAAAGATATTTTGTAATTTTTTTTCTAAATGCCAAAAACTATAGTTCTATTTAATATCTTCAATGGATTTGTTCTATTTTTTTTAGTTTTCTCAGAAAGGGTGAAAATACCAAAGAAATTTTCTTGTTTTTAGCATTGTGAAGGAATCTTATATTATTTTTCTTGGAAAAAAATTGTTTTTTTTTTCTTATCTTGGTTTATTTATAGAGAAGTCAAGCTTTTTATTTTTCATTGGACTGTGATGGAGCTGAAATTTATTGATTTTAAGTCAATGTCCATGTGTAAATCAGTTGGTATGGAGGGGTTGATGAAATTTTCTTGATTCAAAGCTCATGTTTGGTGTTAATGTGGCTCCAAGTTTCTGTTCTCACAGAGGTAATTTTCTTATACTTCCTTCGTTTTAATTTGTTTGTCTCGTTTTGACTTGATACAGAGTTTAAGAAAGTAAATACATAAGATTTTTGTATCGTGTGGTCTTAAACTAAAGATATCTAGAATGTATTTCTGTTCTTGTGGAGGTATTTTTCTGATACTCCTTCCATGTCAATTTATTTGTAATTTTGATTTGACACGGAATTTTAAAAAGTAGATATGTAAGACTTTTGAATATTGTAATCTTAAAATAAAGATATGTAAAATGTATTTCGATTCTTGCAGAGGTAACTTTCTGATACTCATTTATTTCAATTTGTTTCTTTGTTTTTGACTTGACACGGATTTTAAGAATGTAAATAGAACTTAAACATTGTGGTCCTAAACTAATTAAGATATGTAGAATGTATTCTTGTTCTTGGAGAGGTAATTTTTTTATACTCTTTTTATTTCAATTTGTTTGTCTGATTTTGAGTTGACACGGAGTGATTTGTTTGTCTTGTTTTGATTTGACATGGAGTTTAAGAAAGTAAATATGTAAGACTTTTAAATCGTGTTTGCCAAAAAAGTAAAAGATACCTTTTTTGAATGGATTGAAAAGAAAACAAATTGAAACGGATGAAGTATTTACTTAGGGGTGTGGACCATTTTTTTTGGATTCAATCAGAAGGTTATTTTGCCTGTCCATTGATTTTGTAAGGGAATAAGAAGACATTACTCTGTTTGTTTCATTTTATGTGAAGGTATTTGACGGAATACTAAGTCTAAAAAAGAAAAGACTGACTTCTGGAAACGGTCTTAACATGTCATGACGTTTCTGTGACTATAAAATCAGATCATTAAGAGTAAAATGGAAAATTTAAAGCTAAATTGGTTATGCTTCTTCTCGAAATAAATTAAAAAGGAAAGAGCATACTCAGATGATCATAAAATGGAACGGAGAGAGTAGTATCTTATGATCTCTGAGCAAGGAAGCATGAACTATAATAAGGCAATACAAAATGCGTCATTAGCTTATAAAGAATGATGTCCTGTTTCTAATGCAGTCATTAAGAAGAATATTATCTATCAATCTATGCGTTATTAGATAACGCCACTAATGCTACTAAATGAGAAACGTTGCTGTTTGTATCTGACATGAAGTTCGAATTTTTGTAAATTTTCTGTTTTAACTTCAGGGCTGTTAACAAAGGCTTCTTATTCAAGCACTTCTTATGATGTTACAAGATCAGTCAGCAAGAAGAATTTCTTAGAGGACACTTTCTCTTATAAGATAAACGGTACAAACCATACAAGTTTGTATTTTAGAGATAAATGGTTGCTTGATGCCTCTGACGATGAATATGGAGGAGTACTCGTCAATGCAGATAGACTACCATCTGATCCCGACAAATTTACCTTTGTGCTTCGTGCATCTCTCTCTCATTGGAAAGTGAAGGTACTTCATTTCCAGCAACTACTATACTACACTAGTCTCAAATTTCAAGACTCGATTTCTTGTCTGGTGTTGATTAATACACGAGTGAAAGCCACCGCATTTCATATTTTTTCTTATTATTTTATAGACAAGTGAACTTGTACTTTTCATAGCCTGGTGAATTCATATAGATGGAACCCCAATTTGTTTAGGACTGAGGCGTGGTAATTTTTGGTGTATTGAAAGTAAACTTTTATAACACCTTTTGCTCACTGATGGCTCCCGATGATGCAGGGGAAGAAGGGAGTTTGGCTTAAGCTACCATTGGAAAAATGTGATCTAGTTCCTGTTGCAGTAAAGGTATTTCCTTTTTGTTGATGCATTGTAGTAAAGGTATTTCGTACTATCACTTTACCCAAATCGATACAGGAAATTACTCAATCGTTTAACTTTTCTTTGTTATCTCTGGCTAGTAGTGACTGTCTCATGGAGAGAATAAGCTAACTATGGTATCTTAATACACAATAATATACAGCTCTAGTGATTTTGTAACAATCGAACTCAAATTTTGTAGGAAGGATTTCAATACCATCATGCAGAAAGAGGATATGTTATGATGACTTACTGGATTCCGGAGGAACCCTGTATGCTTCCTTCGAATGCATCACATCAAGTTGGAGTTGGGGGTTTTGTGATCAACGATAAAAATGAGGTGTGTGTTTTTCTGTTTGCAATGCCTTCCTAATTAGTAGTAATGTTTGTGAGCTTCTAAATTCTTTGTGTAGTCTCTTAGGCTAATAAATTCTTGCTTTAGGTGCTTGTCGTGCAAGAGAAACATTTTACGCCGGCTCTTTCAGGCTTATGGAAAATACCAACTGGTTTTATTCATGAGGTATGTTCCTCTATTGCAATTTCACCTTACCATTTTGGTTCTTTTGATTTAGTTAAAGATTGAACTGTATACTTAGTTTAGTTTTTGCGTCAAACTCAGTCCGAGGAGCTCTTTACAGGAATTGTGAGAGAAGTGCAGGAGGAAACTGGCGTAAGCAATTTTCACTTAAACGTATCGCCTTCCTAAATTAGCAACACATAACGACCAATCGTTATCTAAACGATGTTTTTTTGTTCGCATTACTTTTTCCAGATTGATACTGAATTTGTGGAGGTTATGGCTTTCAGGTAAAAAAATTCTCCCTCTTCAAAGAACCATGAGTTTATCATAATGGACAGCGATTTATTTTACACCTTTTTTATCGATAGGAAGAGCTATATTAGAAATCGTATAAGAACACAAAATGCTGATACCATAAGTATCCGAGTAACTTGGCTCAGACACAGAGAATGTAGAGTTTCTATTTTCTTGATTTTACTGTCATCTTTAGGATATTTCAAGTTTTATTCAGTTTCATGCTCTAACTCATGCTATGTACACAGTCGTTAAACTTTGGACTCTAATTGTTGATTTTACAGTTTACAAACAAGATACATATATTGGACCCTAAACTTGGCTTCAAATTTTAACTTTGACCTCCAACTTTCATAGTGCACAAATAGGCACTTTAACTTGTATAAAGTAGAACAAGTAAACACACGAGTCCTACATGGCACAATACACGTAGGACACCACGTAGGACAAAAAATGACATGTAGGATGCCATGTAGGACATGTGTGTCTATTTGTTCTATTTTATACAAGTTAAAGTGTCTATTTGTGCACTATGAAAGTTGGAGGTCAAAGTTAAAATTTGAAGCCAAGTTTAGGGTCCAATATATGTATTTTGCCTATTTAAATTAACATTTATCGATGTCCTTCTTCAGGCATGTTCACGATGTGGCCTTTCAAAAGTCAGATTTGTTCTTCGTCTGCCTGTTAAGACCCCTGTCAAAACAGATCATGGTTGATGATCTAGAAATTCAGGATGCTAAGGTAAGCATATCGTAATGTGTAATACTCACCTGATGAGCTAGCGTTTGAGGTTGAGTTAGACTTAAAGTCTGCAGCTTTATGCGACTTAGCATTTACTTGAGCTACCTTTTCTTTTTGCAATGCAGTGGATGCCTCTAGTTGAGTTTGTGGAGCAACCTCTAATCCAAGAAGACGACATGTTCAAGAAAATAATTGACATTTTCATCGCTAGACTAGGGAAGCGGTACTGCGGATTGTCTGTCCATCAACTAATTTCCAAATTTGATGACAAACTTTCTACATTGTACTTTAACACAGTTGATGATCCAAATATGAACTGTCAAGCCAGTTAGCATCACAATCTGTATTGCCTTGTGTATATGTGTAATCAATAGGTTATGGATTCTGTAAATATACTTTAAAAGAACTTGTTACAGGGAGGTAACTGTCATGATTTTCTTTCTTTATAATTTGTATATTAGGTTTCTGTATCGGATGTTTGCACCAAATCAATAAATGCAACACACAAGTGACTCTCATTCACATTATTATTAGTTTTTTCAGTATAATTTTTAACTGCCAAGGTTAAATGTTTTGTTCTGGTGTAAACACGGGATGCAAAAAATACTTCTCACTCTAGAACTGAAACCTGAAAGTCATTTTTCAGGAAATTGACTTCTGTCATATTTCATGATTTCTATCCATTAAGTTGAGATTTTAAACCCCAAAGTAGAGAAATCCAAAATTGTTGATTTGGAGGTCGATTTGGAATGAGTTTTAATTGATTTTCGAGATCTAAGGTCCTTGTATTGTGGGTAAACTGATTTTGACAAAGTTTTCCTGAAATTTCTCATTTTTGATTGCATTTCAAATGTGAGTTTTGGGTTTTTTCTCCTAAAGTTGAAAAAGTAGTAAATTTTTTTATTAGAGCTCGATTCTTGCTTGTTTTAAATGAGTTTTTCAACCACGAACTCCTTTTGGCTTGTAGAACTTGATTTTCAACTAAAATTCTAATTTTACCCTTTTTATTTCCGAAGCGATTTTTGAATTATTTTCCCTCGATTTCAATCCTATCAATATGGATATCATTGAACTCCTTAGCCCGTATTTGAGCATGATAATGTTATTGAGCAGTAGACTGAGGTAGGGGGTCCAACCCAACCTCATATGGTTCCCAACAACGCTCCGATGCTTCAGGAGTTAATAGTCAGGTTATTGGCTAGATTGGATTAGATCAAGTCAAATCAGTACCACAACCATCTCAACAACTCAATACCAAATCAATACTAAATGCAATGCCATACAATGGCCAAAATCCTATATACACATCAACTTTCTCGATCAGATAATCGGGACCCATAGGGGACTCGCAAAGGTCCATATACCAGCATAGATGGTCCATACGTGCTTGTGTGGATAATCTCAATGTACTATCACAAAATCAAACAATCTCCGGCACAAACAATCTCCATGCACGTGCCCCACTCATAAACATAAAACCATTGCAACATGGACTATCTCGACGTGCTCAAGCCTTACTCATATGCAATCTTATATTCATGCATGTGCATAATATAATATCAACTGATTAGGAGATGATGCATCTCATTTCAATCAAATATATTCATCGCATCGCAACATATATGAGCTCATGAAGAAAATATAAACACACAAAAAGTAATCAAGTTCACCAAATTCAAAAGTCTCAATATTTCCGTTATCTCACAACTCAAGGTGTACTATCAATTTCATGACTCTGGTATCCATATAAATGCTCATTATCTCATTTACACGGTATCGGCATAAATGTTTGTTATCTCATTTACGTGGTACCCCTTTATTACCAATTATCCTTAGATTCATTTAACTCACAAAACTAACACTTCAAAGGATCTGTAATCTTTAATTAGTTGCCTCAAACCGAAGCCCAAATGCCAAATTGTGAATTTGCCCTTCCACAATGCTTCTGAATAATAAAATTTATTCAAATTAGAGGTGGACAAAATCGAACCAAACCACAAATCGAGTCAAATAGAAAAAAAAACCCAACTAGTGATTTGGTTTGACTTGATTTGGTGTTGGAAAAAAAAAATCCAACTATATTTGGGTTGGTTTGTTTTCAACTAAAAAAAACCAACCCGAAACCAAGCCAACCTGACATTATATATATAATTTTAAAATTTTATTTTATACGTAAAGATATTTACTTTGATATAATTTTTAAATATTTCTTATACTTTTTCATAGTTATTATCTTTTAATATATTATTTCATGTCTGAAAGTTAGAATTCTTAATAGTCCAATAAAGATTATAGTCCATAGATGTTAGTAATCTATCTATATATAAAAGGAGAAGAAAAATAACACATGTCAACACCACAAATTTTCAGTATTTTAAATAATTAATAATCAATAATAATTAATTAAATAAATAAATATAGACATATGTCAATAGTTAGACTTAGAACGACACATGTCAGCACCACAAAAAATAGGATTTTTAAATAATTAAAATTACTAATTACATCTAATAGGATTAAATAATAAACTCAACTTTTTGTAATTATCTTAAATTCGAAATTAAAATATTAAATTTATTTATTAAAGAATTGCTTAAAATTAACGTGATATAATCATTTTATAATTTTCAAAATTTATATAAGATAATAACTAAAAACTTTAACTATCTAAATCTGAAAAACCAAAAATAAAAATTGCAGAACATGAGTGTGATTATTAATTTTAATTTTTTTTTTAAAAAAAAAAAACAAATAACTGCTCCACGTTAGTCAGAGGATAGTTTTAAGGAACAATTCAATTAGTGGATAATTTTAAGGAATAATTTCAAATTTAAAATTAACATAAAAATAAAAATTACAAACTTAACTAATAATAATAATAATACTATTACTATTTTTTCAGAAATGTTCCAAATGACAGTCACACATAAAATTCTTTTCCCGGTATCATTTTTTCTATTTTTATTTAAATAAATAAATTTCGGCAACAGTTTTAAATGATAAAATCTAAAAGTGTTTTCAGTTTTGAAAGGAAAAATAAATAAATAAACGTGGGTTGTTAACCTTTTTAAGAATTGTGACAGTTATCTAATTTTACACTTCTTAAATTAAAAAAAATAAACTAAAAAAAAAGTGTAGTTGTTAAGCATCTCAAGATCTTTTTGTTTGATCAAAGAAAAATTTAATAGATACATTATATCATATATATTTAACTATTAGAAAGAAAAAAAAAAGAATATTTTTAAGTTTTTTAGTATGTGTATTTTTAAAAATGATTGCAGATTTTTTTACATACCGTTTTAAAATATAATTAAAAAATTAAGTTGATTGACAAAACCGCATAACTTTAAAATGTTTTTTGTTTTAAAAACTGCAAATGAACTTTTACTAAACAAAAAGAGAAAAATAAGGGAAACAAATTAACCTCCACTTCAAGCATTAAAATCCTCTCACGTTTCTTTATTACGTCTACACTCAAACCCACTTTCAACAAGCACTAATTCTTTCTCCTTCTGTTCTATTTTTTTTTTTTCAATTAATCAACAGGGAAAGAAGAACAAGAAATACTTTGGGATGCATACAATTACTTTGTTTTCGTTGTCTTCTTGAGGTTTTGTGAATTTATTTTTCATATTGAAAAAATCTATGATAGTTCAAATTATGAGTTTTTTGATATAATATATTATTATCATGGTTATCTATATATGGTTAGTTTTCTCTTTAACTATCTTACATTCGATCTCGTATATATATATATATCAAATTAAGACACATCCAAGGAGGGATCATTCCTCCATTAGTGAAGGAGATTTTCTATATTTGTCAATATCCAATCAAAGAATACAATACTGGTACAATTATTGGTCTGATGGTAATTAGTTATGCTACTTTGAAAGAATTCTTTTCACAAAAAAATTTACTTTTTATATTACAAATATTTTGAAATTCTAAAATGTTATGTTTCGGATGGTTATCAGTGAATTGAAAATAGGGTGTTATTAGCAATGAAGAAGATAAAACAAGGATGTTGATGTCAAGGCCACAAATTCTATGTCAGGAAAGGAAAAAATTAAATATATACTAGGAGAAATATTTATATAAATAATTTAGTAAGGAAATACTTAAATTAAAATCAGAAAAGGAACAAAAAATAATATTAACTAAGTAATCAACAAAATTAATTTAAAATCTGAAATTAAAAATTAAAAACAATTTAAATCTTAAAATCTGTTTAAAGGAGAAGAATACTTATGCACGATGGAGTTTTCTAAAACATAATTCATATTCAATTAACAAAGTTAATTTATAATCTGAAAATTTAAATCTTTTTAAATCTGAAAATATTTTCATTTTAAACAACAAAAAAAGAAGAAGATAACTTTACCATTTTTTTAAAAAAAAAATAATCTTGCCACGTTTTAAAATATAAGACGAATCTCTTCTTCTTTTCCTCCTATATATTTTTGTATCTATTGTTTTTAATTTTTTATCGACTTTTAATAATTATATTATACCATTAGATTTTTGCTCGATGTTGAGATAAAGAAAAAATAGGAGTAAGTGGCCCATGAAAGTGAAAAGCATCCTTTAAGTTTATGTAATGTGGTGAAATTTTTTAGAGAATTAGAAAAATAAATGTATGTTTTGATGTATTTGATATTTGGTATATTAGAAAGATAAAGTATAATGAATATTTTATTTAAGTTGAATATCTGAATAAAATAAGTACATTGCCTCTAACTATGATCCGTTAGCTTCTCTGAAATAGTTGAAGCATTGAACTCCTTAGCCCGTATTTGGGCATTATAATGTTATTGAGCAGCAGACTGAGGTGGGGGGTCCAGCCCAACCTCATGTGGTTCCCAACAACGCTCTGATGCTTCAGGAGTTAATAGTCAGGTTATTGGCTAAGTTGTATTAGATCAAGTCAAATCAATACCACAATCATCTCAATACCAAATCAATACTAAATGCAATGCAATACAATGGCCAAAATCCTATATACACAGCCGCTTTCTCGGTCAAATAATCGGGACCGATGAGGGACTCGCAAAGGTCCATATACTAGCACAGACGGTCTCTACGTGCTTGTGCGGATGATCTCAATGTACTATCACAAAATCAAACAATCTTCGACACAAACGATCTCCACGTACCCCACTCATAAACATAAAACCATTGCAACATGGACTATCTCGACGTGCTCAAGCCTTACTCATATTCAATCTTATATTCATGCATGTGCACAATATAATATCAATTGATTAGGAGATGATGATGCATCTCATTTCAATCAAATATATTCATCTCATCGCAACATATATGAGCTCATGAAGAAAATATTAAACACACAAAAAGT